GTACTTTAATGCCTCAGATTTCTTACCAACTAAACAGTATGGTAACTAAAAAGCTTCAAAAATTGATACAGATGACATAACAAAGCTCAAAATAAACATGAAATAATATATTATCATCATCTGTCTCATTTCTTATACTGGTTTTTAACATAAAGGGGTGGAGAAGTAAAAATTTTAAGAAACAAGTCTTTCTACTCTTAAAACCTATAGATATTAGGCATTGTCAGTGGAGAATAATGCTCCTTGGCTCATATTTCCAACTGGAGATTCACTAAAACTTTGAACCAGAAAGGACCTTTTTGGTGAAAACCCAATCCTATGTCTTACATAAGTAAGCTGGGGTGGATTTGGCGTGCCCTTCTAGGATCTTAATGAGTAGCTCTCTGGGGGACAGGAACTGCAAGCAGAAAGAACAACTTGTTCAAAAGCGGGGTTTAGCCTTACTCTAGACGTCCAAAGTGTGTAGAAACCAGTATTGGGAAATAACACTGGAACATGCCTTCAAGATCATTTCTGAAGGAGGTCCCAGCTACCTGCCCCGTAACTCTGGAGGAGGCAAGTCTAGGTGTGAATCTCCACTTGACGTCTTCGAGCCTCAGACTTAGCGCAAAAGGGTGATCTTAGTGATGGAGCGGGTGTCTGCAGAGCTCCTAACCGGGGTGCCTGGCAGGTGGAGAGCACCCCAATGTTTGTTCTTTCCAAGCCCTTCTAGCATAAGAATAAAAACCTACCAAGTGACAAAACACGGTCTTTCATAAAGTGTGCGCTTGCTGAATGTCTGAGGCTTGCTGCACGTTACTTAATTGTAAAAACAGGAAGCTGAATGAATGCAGAGATGATAAAGTGTCCGCCCCCTGCCCTCTCTCACCCCCAACTGTCCTTCACAGTCTGTTCTGAAGTGTCCCGTGTCCACCCTTAACATGCTATTTGGAGACCCCTGGGGCTCAGACATGCAATTCTACAGCGACTATGCATATATTTAAAACTCAGAGTCCATGTCATTTTATTCCTATGGCCCATTCTAGCTTGACGAATTTCCAGTGAACGGTCACTGTTTCTGTTTGTTTGTCTGTTTATGGCTCAGAAACTGCACGTTTAGATCAAAGGTTGGTGGGCAAGCACCGCTCCTGTGACCCAGAAATCTTTTAAGTGTCAGAGATGATCTTTATGCCAGTCCTCCAATGGACACCGGCCAGGACCCATTATGTGCGCTGGAAACTGAAGTCAACCGTCTCTTTGGAAAGACGTGTGGTGTCTTGGCTCACAATCAATCCCAGAAAAGTCCACCGCAACTTCACCCAGAA